CCCTCATCATCATCATCATCATCAGCAGCAGCAGCAGCAGCAGCATCATCATCATCACCATCACCATCACCATCACCATCATCATCATCATCATCATCATCATCAGCATCATCATCACCATCATCATCATCACCACCATCATCGTCATCATCATCATCATCATCATCATCATCGTCATCACCATCATCATCATCATGCGCACCCGCACCCGATGGAGCACACGCTCCTACGTTTCGTGGCCCCACACCGAGGCTCCACCGAAGGCAGCAGCGGCAGGGCCCGCACGGCGTACCCGCACCTGACTTGGCACATTCTCAACGCGTTTCGTGGCCTCATTTGGCGGTTCCACCGAACTCCGAGGGTCCCGGCAGCAGGGCCTGCACTGCGTACCCGCGCTGACATCGGCACACCCCTCACACGCTTCGTGGCCCCATAGTGGGCCTTGCCAAAGGCCCCAGCGGTAGGGCCCATGGAGTACCCGCGCGTCTTTCTGCACACCCTTCACACGTTCCGTGGCCCCGAAGGGAACTCCACCGAACGCTCCAGCGGCTGGGCTAGTATGGCGTACCCGCGCCGTGGCCCCATAGGGGGCTCCACCGAAGGCCCCAGCGGCAGGGCCCGCATGGCGTACCCGCACCCGTTTCGGCACACCTTTTGCGCGCACGGCGTACCCGCACCCGATCCAGCACACTCCTCGCACGCTTCGTGGACCCATAAGAAGCTCCACCGAGGGCCTCAGCGGCAGGGTCATGGGCAGGGTCCGCATGACGCATCCGCACCCGATTCGGCACACCCCTCACACGGTTCGCGTCACGGCATGCACGCCATGGGATGACATCAGCGTGGAGTTCCGACACCGCATGGGATCGTTTGGATTTGAGCGATCGCGGCGTTTCGATATCTTAGTTGGGCGGTTCCTGGCCACCTTGAGCGCCCACGTCGGCGTCTCCACCGCGTCTGCCCGCACGCCCCCTGCCCGTGCAGACAGCCGCTGGTGCCTGCCTGGAAGGTAGTTCTGCTGTGTACCTCTATCGCTGCTCGGCGGAGGCTTTCAGGAGCGGGAAAGGCGAGAACGGGGGCGCAGGGGAAGGAGGGAGGAGAAAGGAGGACGACAAGCCGGGTGATCTCGCCACATGTGTGACATACTACCCCTCCCATCCCTCCCTCCCCAGGGCGCGGACTTCTTTGCATCCGCCGATTAGTCTCATAGCGGACCTGACACCCCCCAAGCCATTGCGTCATGTGCAGCAGATGGGACGACGTGAGCATAGCGCCAAAACTGAAATGAGGCAAACGCTGCTTTGGAACAGCAGCTTGAAACAGCATCACTAACACATCCAAAACACCCTTTTGAACATTCGATGTGCTAGAAACACGGGCTTCTCGGGGGCTTGCTGGCGGTCTCGGCGGTCCTCTTGGGGAGAACGTCTCGGAATGTGGATTCGAGATTCCCCTCTTGGGTGCCGTCTTGAACCGCTGTTGGCGCAGGCCCCAGCGGCAGGGTCCGCATGGCGTGCCCGCGCCCGGTTCGGCACACCCCTCACGTGTCCCGCTGCCCAGCAGGAGGCTCTGGCGAAGGCCTCAGCAGCAGGGCCCGCACGGCGCACCCGCGCCCGCTTCGGCATACCCTTCGCACGCTTCGGGACCCCGGCGGGAGCTGCAACGACGGCCCCGGGGGCCCGGGGGCAGGGTCGGCAGGGCGTACTTGCGACCGATTTGGCACACCCCTCACACGCTCTGCTGCCCCATAGGGAGCTCCACCGAAGGCCCCAGCGGCTGGGCCCGCATGGCGCACCCGCGCCCGTTTCGGCAGACCCGTCGCACTTTCCGTGGCCACATCCAGCGGCAGGGTCCGCATGGCGTACCCGCACCCGGTTCGGCACACCCCTCACACGTTTCGCGGCCCCACAGGGAGCTCCACCGAAGGCCCGACTGGGTCCGCATGGCGCACCCGTACCCGACTCGGCACACCCCTCACACGATTCAGGGCCCCGAAGGGAGCTCCATCGAAGGCCCCAGCGGCAAGGTCCGCATGGCGTATCCGCCTCCGATTCGGATCACCCCTCACACTTGCCGTGGCCCCATAGGGAGCTCCACCCAAGGCCCGAGGGACATGGCCCGCATGGCGCACCAGCCCCATGTTGGCATACCCCATCACTCCTCCCCCTTACTTCTTCTCGGTTGCCTCGCGGTACCAGTAGTAGTTTCGTTTAGTTGTGCCCTTCGCCCAGATATTCTTTCACAGTTGACACCAGTTTCGAGGATTGAGGGGGGTAGTTTTCAAAACGTGGTTCTCGCATGAGCGCCGCGTACCTTCGCCTTACATCCCTGCACGAGCGTCAAGGATTGAAGGTGGCTCGTTGTCAAACTGCGGTTTTGGCCCAGCGCCGCGCTCAGTCGTTCTGATTCGTGCGCCAGCTTCAATGATGAAGGGCGGCTCCTGCTTCAAAATGCGGTTGACGCTTCTGCGCCGCGCGTAGCGGTACGGTTTGTAGGCTTGAAGTCCCAGCAATGTTGTCAGGGCACAATCCAGGATTGCCAGGACGAAACAATCACGTTGCTTCTCGGCGTTGAGGTCCCAAGAATGGTGCTCTGGCACGATGTACGAATGTCAGGACGCAACAGTCACGTTGGTTAGTGGCGTTGAAATTCCATGACTGGTGTTGTGTCACGATCGAGAAGTCTCAGATTGCTGCTTTTCATGAGAGGCCTGTTGAAATGAAGATACTTTGCGAGGGCGTGCGATGAGGGAACTCATAGGGAAGCTATGTTGCAACATCATCGATGCGTCTTGGCGTTACACAGGTCTTCCTCCTCCTCCTCCTCCTCATCATCATCCTCATCATCATCATCATCATCCTTCTCCTCTTCAGGTGCTTCCACACCCCTCTCTCCAGCGCCGCTCTCCTCATCATTTTGCTCGCGTTCCTTCCCCTCACCCTCTTCTCCTCATCCCTGCTCGCACCAGCAAAACTCGCCCCGCCCCCCCCAAACGGCGGGTTCAGGGGAGCGACAGGTGCCGCTCTCCTTCTCCTTCTGGTCGCGTCGGCGACACCTGTACGTTCGGCGCCGACCCTTCGACCCGCCTGCCGTGGATTTTTCACGGGTGCTCACCAGTTTCTTCTACAATGTAGCGACCTTTGCGTGCCAGAATGTCCAAGAAGATTGGCAGGGCCCTCCGGGCCGCCCTGCGAGCCCCCGGGCCGCTCAGAGACGGTTGTGGGGGTCCCAAGATGCCCCAAGATGGCCCCAAGATGCGCCCAGAGAGCCCCGAGAGGCCCAAGCCGGCCCGACAGGTTTCCAAGGTGCTCCGCGAGACCTCCCGGGAAGCTTCTCCTTTTCGGCTTCCATACGATCCGCGACGGCCTCAGATGTTCCCCAGACGCCTCCAAGACGGCCGAAGGCCCCCAAGAGAGCCCCAAGACGGGCCCAGAGGGCATCCAAGTCGGCTCAACAGGCCCCCAGAGGCTGGCCCTGGGCCGCCCCGGGCCGTCCAGAGAGGCTCGCAGATGCGCCCAGAGAGCCCCGAGAGGCCCAAGCTGGCCCGACAGGTCTCCAAGGTGCTCCGCGAGACCTCCGGGAAGCTTCTCCAGAGGGCCCCGAGCAGGAAGAAACATTGATTTTCATTGCTGTTTGCAGGGTTTTAGCCGTGCTCGCCTTTTCGGCTTCCGCACGATCCACACCCCAAGACGCTCCCAAGATGTCTCCAAGATGGCCGAAGAGGCCCCCAAAAGAGCCCCAAGACGGACCCACAGGGCCTCCAAGTCGGCTCAACAGGCCCCCAGAGGCTGGTCCCAGGCCGCCCCGGGCCGCCCAGAGGCTCGAAGCTACGCCCAGAGAGCTCCGAGAGGCCCAAGCCGGCCCGACAGGTTTCCAAGGTGCTCCGTGAGACCTCCCGGGAAGCTTCCCCACAGGGCCCCGAGCAGGAATTCACATTTTCACTGCTTTTTGCAAGGATTTAGCCGTGCTCGCCTTGTCGGCTCCCGCACGATCCACACCCCAAGACGCCTCCAAGACGGCCGAAGAGGCCCCCAAGAGAGCCCCAAGAAGGGCCCAGAGGGCCTCCAAGTCGGCTCAACAGGCCCCCAGGTGGGCCCCAGACGCTCAAGATTGGCCCAAGATTGGCCCAAGCCGGCCCGAGAGGTCTGGAAGGTGCTCCGAGAGTCCTCCCGAGAAGCTTCCCGGGAGGGCCCCGCGTAGGACAAACCATTGATTTACATTTCTTCTGGCAGGGTTTTGGCGGTGTTCGCCTTCTCCGCTTTCAGGCGATCCACGACCGCCCAAGACGTTCCCAACACGGCTCCCAGACGGCCGACAAGGGACCCAAAGAGAGCCTCGAGACAGGCCCAGAGGGCACCAAGTCGGCTCAACAGGCCCCCACATGTGCCACAGACGCTCGAGATTGGTCCAACATTGGTCCAAACCGGCCCGATGGATCTTCAAGGTTCTCCATGAAACCTCCCCAGAAGCTTCCCCAGAGGGCCCCGAGCAAGACAAAGCCTATATGTTTATTGTTTATTGCACGGTTTTTGCCGTGCTTGCCTGGTCGGCTTCCACATGATCCACCGCCGCCCAAGGTGTTCCCAAAACGGCTTCAAGACGGCCGACGACGCCCCTGAGAGAGCCCTAAGGCAACCCCACAGGGCCCCAAAGGAGGAGCAGGGTGAGCAGGTATATTGGGAAGGGCGAGGAGGGAAGAGGAGTGGAGGAGGAGCAAGGACGCAAGCGAATATCGCGCGGACGATGACAGAGCGGGAATGAAGACGACGACGACCTGGCTAGGACGGCGACGATGAGGGCAGCAGCGGAGGCGGCAGCGCTGGGGGGAGAGCAAGACACGAAGCTCAGAGCATCGATGAGAGCCCAAGGGGGCCCCCAGAGGCCCCCTCGCAGCCGAGGGGCTGACCGCCATGTCGATAGCCTTTCGGCAGCATTCCCGCCGCTGCCCCGATAATATTTTCGGCCAGATGTCGCGGCCGGAAGGCCGCGGTCAGCCCTAGTCAGCTACAACGCTGGGATCAGCGCGTGCGAGAAAGGCGAGCAGTGGCAGCGGGCTATGTCGCTGCTCAGCGAAATGTGGGCGGCGACACTGAAGCCAAGCGTCATTTGTACCACGATGCTGGCCGCGGCGCATGCGGAACGAGCCGCCCTGGAGCGTCCCGAGCGCCCGCGGAACGCTCCCCGACGGGCTCGGAGGGTGGCCAGATGGCCACCTGACGGTCTCGGACAGGAGGAGGAGGAGGAGGAGGAGGAGGAGGAGGAGGAGGGATGAGGAGGAGGGGGAGAGGAGGAGGAGGAGGAGGAGGAGGAGGAGGAGGAGGAGGAGGAGGAGGAGGGAGGAGGAGGGAGGGAGGAGGAGGGGGAGGGAGGAGGAGGAGAAGAGGAGGAGGAGGAGGAGGAGAAGAGGAGGATGAGGAGGAGGAGGGAGGGAGGAGGAGGAGGAGGGAGGAGGGAGGAGGGAGGAGGGAGGAGAGTTCTGAGACGCTCCAGAGAGGGCGCCAGGGCGGCCCCCCGAGGGCCCCACTGGAGCCCCGTGACGGCCCAAGAGGGCCCGAGGACAGTCCGGGAGCTTCCAAAGACGTCCCAAGATGACCCCGTCGACAGCCCCACCCCGAAGCCAAAATCGTGTTCCTCCTCCTCCTCCTCCTCCTCCTCGGTCGGTTGGTCGGTCGGTCATCGGGCAGAGATGTCACGACGCCCATTCAAAGAAATGGAAAAAGAGAGATGGGGAAAGCGATGGAGGTAGCAGCAGCGGCACAACGGCACGGGGCTCCTGCCTGCACCAGATGGCGCAGGTGAGTTGGTTGCAGAGGGGCTGCCTCACACATCACTGTGAGGGTTGCTGCATTTAACGTGGGCGAAACTAAGGACGGAACAGGGGAGGGAAACAACGGATATGAAAAGAAGAACCTCCACGGGTTGCCGACAACGTCGAGCAGCACAAAGATGTTGCGTTGTTTTGGACAACTACTGCTTTTTAAAGTGAGCGTGCACCCGCGGCGCCTCTTGAGCGCGGCATCACATTCATTGCCCAGCCCTTCACCCTGGCCCCCGGTTCACACCACTCGATGGTCGGAAAGGGGGGGGGTGCGGAGCTCGCAGGAAAGAAAGGAAAGTGGATCCCCGCACACTCCGCTAATCGTGTCGCTGGTGTATCATGCAATCCATGGATATTCCTCTGACCACGTATGGATCCACGGGAGCGAAATACCGACGGAGCCCCCTTGGGACGTCCCATTCATCGTCAACTGCATCGATGCCAATCCGTCTGCGACTCATACCACTCATCCTCCACGATCCTGAGATTCAGACCAGTCAAAGGTGGGTGCAGGCAGCAGAGGATCAACGACAAGTCTTAGTGGGGTCTCCGAGCGGATGCGTGGGAATCTGGCTCGAACTTCCTCCATAATGGTGGTGGCCAAGAGAAAACACAGCCCTTACGTTGTTGCCTGTGCCGAAACCCAAAGCCCATCCGAGTCAAGCCCCTGGAGCGAACGATGCGGATGATCCAGCAAACATAGGCCTCCACCTCTTTTTGCGTCGTGCCAGCGTTGCATGGCTTGCACATGGACTGCCAGCAAGGTAATCGTTTTGTTGGCGATGCCTCCGAACGCACACTGGTGCACAATGTGTGCAGTGACCCCCGATTGAGCTGCCAGCCTCCGGAGGCTAGGCAGCTGCCAAGATGTGGGTACCCCCTGACGCCACGTACAAGTTGGATGGTGTTCCATGACCGTTGGCTTTCCATATATCCATGCCTGATGTAGGAACCGAATCGTCGTACGCAACAACTGGTTGCCCAAATCAAGCTGCTGTCTCACGGCTGCTGACGTGTCCGAGCTCCCATGGGAACTCAACCGAGCGCAGGGGTCTAGGTGGCCTTCGGGACTGGGGGGGCAGGAATGTGGAGCGCCGCGGACCATGACGCCACAATCGCCGCCACGCGACCTGACCTGAATAGGTAAAGCAAAACATTTACCGTGCACTCATCAGTCAAATCCCCCCATATCGGGCCATGGGCGATATCCATGCTAATGACATGGAGCCTGGTGGGGGTAGCCGTCAGGGCCTGCTCAAAAAAATATGTGATGTCCCCCTGCCTTCTGAAGTGCGAGGAAAGGTGAAGAACAAACATGGTTTGCCTCTCACGGGCTGAGGTATACATCCAGGTGGGATGGGGGGTATGACAACTGCCTGTTCTTGGGCCGTCTGTCGTGAAAGTGGCGCTCTTGGCGCTATGGGGGGCCCGTAGCACTGGACTGGGGGAGCGGCAGCCTTGGCTTCGTGAAGACCCTTGGCCCTGGCCGCCGAGGCTTGTTTTCACAACAACTTAGCTTCCTCCCTCTCCTCCCTGGTGGGCCTAAATCCTGTATTAACCCACGCACGATGGCACGCAGGAGCATTGCGAAGGTGTTTTACAAGCCTCGGGATATGTCCAAAGTCTGTGGTGCACATCAAGCAGCATGTGCCTGTGGCCAATGCAGCAGGTGCATCCAGGGAGGGGCGTTTTTTCTCAGATGAATGCGAATGAGCTTCTCTGAGGCCGCCGTGAAACCACACTTGTAACAAAGATACCCCTAGGGCCCATCCATTACACACGAATCAAGGGGTGTGCCTGCTGTTTCCTTAGCCAGTGGCCGCTCCCACCCCTGAAGTCGGTGTTGGTCGCAGGCGCAGGTACTGGCCTTCCTGATGGCTGCCGCCACGGAGGCACTGAAGGCGTTGCTCTGGTTTCGTGCCACCTCGATCCAGTCCTGGATGGTGCCCTGTCCTGGTCGCCTGCTGAGGTCGGTGCGGAAGTTGAGCCACTGCAATCTCCTCCTGCACCAACTTACCCCATGAGTCCGGGGTCTCCCAGGCCGTGGCAGCTAGTACCCGGATCATAGGGGGTGCTTGCTGCAGAAACCGTTCCATGCAACGGAGTTTGGCGACAGCCAAGACGTCATTGGTGTCGAGCCTCTTGGACCTGGTGCAAACCTCGGAGTGAGCCAGATGCAGCTCAGCATTGTTAGAGACGGTCCAGTTGAGGCCAGTCGATAGAGGGCCACCTTGGCCGACTGAACCTTGGACAAGAGTCCAGCGTTGAGTCTCGGCCATGAGGCCGAAGCGTAGAGGAGGACGGTGACGGCAAGGGCGTCCACACAGAGGACGTTTGTCTTATCAGTGAGCCCTTTCTTTGGTGCACCGGTGTGGGTGTGGCGGACTGGTTGTATGGCGGCGTTAGCTTTTGCAATACGTGTGGAGATCTCGTGGCTCATCGCCCCCTGGTGGGAAAGCCATGCTCTGGGTACCCTCTGCTCGGTGATTGCTGGAAACTCAATTTGCCATTCCTCAGATATGATCTTCTCCAGGCCTCCATTGGTGTAATTAGCTGGAACCTTTTTGGGCCCCAAGACCCTCCCACGCAATTAGAACCTTGGTCTTAGTAACATTGGGCAGCAACCCATGCGCGCACGCCGCAAAATAAACAGATCCGAAAGAGCAACGGCCGCGCTGTAAACGTCGGTGGCGACTGTGTCACATACGAAACATTGGTCTAGCTGGGCTCTTTCCCAGTCTCGTTGCGTGGAGGACCTGGGTTCAGGGCGAGGCAGCCCCCAACGCTTGTCCCCAAGTGCTGCTTCAAGTCGGGTTCTCATGTCCCCATGCAATCAATCAAAAACCGGATTAAACCTGACGGTGGCAAATACAGACCTTGGCCGAACACCGTCGGAGGCTCTACAAAGTTTTTGGCCGCACGGACCCTCCAGAATCCTTTCCGTTGTGATTCCCTGACCAGCTCTGCCAGGTGCGCAGCGGTAAGGTGGTTTTCTAATTTCGGTTTCTTGCCAAAGTGTGCCTTGGCCGCATCATGATGAAGTATCCGTGGTAACTCCTTCTTGTCTAGGACCTGTTCTAATTCGCCCTCATCGCTTGGAAGGGGGATCGCAAGCTCATGTGCGTGTGTGCTTATAACTGCCATCAAGTGGCTCATAGCAAACATGTGCAACTCATGCCTTTGCTCGTCGTCCTGCTGCTGAACAAAACCCTGTCCCCAACCGCTTCGGATCGCAGGGAGCCCAGGCGGGCGCTACTGTCCATAGAACCAGTTGCGGGTTAAAGTTGCACGTGGTTGCGATGAGGTCCCTCCAGAAAGCCGGCCACTCTTGGGGTGAATGCTTGGAGTGGGCAGCGTGGGCTATGAGCATGGTAACATCTAAACCTTGTACCTGGACGCGTGCCACCATGAGGCGTGACTTGGACAAAAAACTGCATTACCATCTGCAATCCTGGATCCCGTGCGGTTTCGGGCCTTCTTGGATAGCAGCCAAAACAGTCTGCTCCCGATGGAGCTGAAGCGTCAGGCTCTTGTTCCTTTCCCGCCAGCGTTTGATTTTAGTTCCACGGGTCTTGCGTGTCGATGCTGACCGAACGTTGTATTGTGCAGCTCCAAAATTGATCTTAAGCTGTGCCTCTGGGCCCTCACGAGGTTCTGGGCAGTACTCCTCAATCTGGTGCGGCTCAACACAAGTGTCTGGGACATCAATATGTGTGGCCGCCAGCCAGTCAGGCAGAGATGCACGACACTGTGGCGCCCCACTGTCTCGCTGCCGTGTGGTTGGTACCTTCGAGTGTTTTCAGCTGGAAGAATGACTGGCCCGATGCGCCCCTTGGAGATTAACCGCGCCACACAATCCGCCAACGTGTTCCAGGGATGCCCGTCGTGGCCTGTTACATGGCTCGCCTGAAGCCGTACACGTTGCTTGAACACAGCGGCCAAATTGCACACAATCCTCGCAAGCGAATCCACCCGTGGCGGCGAGGATAAGCCATTGAGGGCCCGTACCACATTGAGCGAATCTTTTCCAAGTGTTATGTTGGAAAGAGTGTTCCCGAGGTGAGGAGGTAGGCCAATGACCAATAGGCCGCCACGTACTCGGTGTCCGTGCTGTCGTAGTTTGGTGTCGTTGCTGGTGTGCGAAACGCTTGCGGAACGTACCCGCTCCACCTGCCTGCGTATGCGAGCCTTTGTTCACCGGCTAGGACAACCACCATAGCCCAGGCGGCCGATTCGTTATCTGAGTGGGCCAGGGACCCATCCGAGAAAACATGGATTCTTTTCCATGCGCCAGCACGTGGTGGACACAACTGTAAGGCCAATCTGGCCTCCGATGGTAACTTGTTCCAACTCGTCGTTCAGTCTAGATGGGGCATTGGAGCTGCAACTAGGATCTCATACATGTGTAAGTGCTGTGGAAAGGGATACCTGACACGATGAAACTGAGACTGGCGACCGTGCCCTTGCCTACCTGCTCCATTTTCGTGTACGCTTGCAGGTTCCACAGGGGGGGAGGGGAAGGGGAAGCAGGGAGGTCGGAGCTAACGCAATCTCGATGAGGGGCCCCGTCAGACCATCCTTCTGCAATTATTGGGGGGAGCGTGAGCGTTGGTATGTTAATTCACTGCCCCGAAAGAGTGCACATGGGGATACTGTATTATCGAGCATGAATGAGAGAACAGGCTCATCACTGAAAACGGGTGCATCTCTGCACATGGGGATACTGTATTATCGAGCATGAACGAGAGAACCGGCTCATCACTGAAAACGGGTGCCTCTACTACAGAAAGGGTTGCAAAGCAGGTGTGAGCACAGTTAACTCGAACCTCCTTCCTAACCCAGTCTCGCCAGCATCCTCCAGCTACCAGCTCACAAGTTGTGGACGCCTGAAAATAGTGACACATCATCACCGTGGCGCTCCATGAAGTCTCTTTTTTCCCCAACGTATCTGGCATGAGCATGTGACTCATTGCCCTTGGAGGTTCTCTTCGCATCAACAGGTCCGGCCCCGCAACTGGAAGTTGGCGAGAACCTGGCAATGGCCCTAGCAACGACTCTGGCTCCAAGGCTGCAGTGTGCTGAGTAGGGGCTTGGCGGCGGTGCTGGGATGCGTTAAGCAGGATGGTCTCAGGGCTGTGACATCTATTCCAGTGAACCCCACTATAGTCAATATTCATAGTTATGGCCGTCACCTAGCACATCAATGGACAGGTGCAAGTCGAAGACATGGCTTAAAACACGCACATACAGACGCGAGGGGTATTCCCCTTTCCCCTTCACCATGGCTAAGTCTACCCTCCCACCCCGATCCCGTGGCCGCGGTGATGTGCCACGTGCTTGTCGAGATTTCCGCGAGCGAGGCGAACAGGGCACAGGCAAGCGCAGTCGACGGCGAGAATGTGAGGTTTCCCCTTCGCTGCGCCCGGTGTGCAAACGCTTTGGATACACGATGCTGTTGCAGGCTCTCTTGGACCCTCGAGCCCAATGTCCTGATGTACTGTATATCTGATGGCAAAAAGAAACAGTGCGTCCAGGTCAATGCCTGAATCCAACCTGGACTCAAAGAAAGGCTGGGCAATGTGAAACTTGGCCGCTAGATCCACCAGCTCATCTGAGGTGTCCACGGAGTTTTGGAGCCCGGGCCCCAAGGAGGCAGAATCCAAGCTCTACAAACACAGATAATCCAAATGATACGGATAACCCCCACCAGGGAAGCTTGGATACGATTTCTGTCAAATGGGCCTCGGGGGATAAGTCGGCGCGCAAGCGCTAATTTGGTGTAGCGGCTGGGCCTTGGTGGAGACACTGATGTTTGCTTGACCCTTTTGCCGATCTGGGCCTCGGCGGGCTCACGTGGCGATGCATGGCTCAGAGCTGGTGGACGTGGGCCGCCTTTCTCCGAGCGCGCCTCCTTGCGGGGAGGACTGCGCTCGTCCCAGGCAGCTGATGGGCCGGTCGCCGCCTCTGGCATGTCTGGTTCCTGTCCGCACGCCTGTTCGATCTCCTGGATTTCGGCCTCGATGACTGCCTCGTCGATCTGCTGGGCAACCTGGTTGATCTGCGTCCTCGACATGGGGCTCTGCGACGGCACTGGGATCGGTGCAGTCGGTTCGTCCTTGGGCTGCGCAGTTGCTTCCATCGGCTGTGTAGACGGCATGATGACACTGTGCACTGGCTGCTGTACGTTCGGGTGCTCCTGGATATTGCCAAAGACGAACGGCTCGATGGGGGCCAGCAGTTCTGGTGCAATGGAATTCGGTGAGTCCTGCTTCTCGTACTTGATGTCGCCTCTGTTTTGACCTCTCCAGGTGAGACCTCCTGTTCCTTGGTGGGCGGCATTGGAACAGGAACCGGTGCCACCATTGGGGTCGGATGCCCTGTCATAGGTATCGGTGCCACTGGAGTCGTCGAACACGCTGGTGCGGCTGGTGTGCGCTGTGCTGGCGGCACCGTTGATGGAGAACACGGCTGGGGGCGGCACGGCGGTGTGCATGGTGTTGCCGATGTGGTTGCGGCCGTAGTTGCCGCGGCGCCCTGGAGCTGCTCCTGGGCATGCTTCTGCTGGAGCTGCTCCTGAGAGAACCTTGCCGAGGACGCTGGTAGCCATGTACCTGATGTAGTTTGCCGGACCTCTGGCCCCAGCATAATAAACTCCAGCGTCGGCACATTGAAAGAAGTAGATGCTGGTTGTATGCCTGGACATATCTGCTGAGGGTTCGGCGGCATCGGTTGTTGTGGGATACTTGCTGCGATTTGCTGCTGGTGAGACGCATGTAAGAAAGCTGCATCGGACATCGACCGGTTCTGATTCTGATTCGGATTGCCAAAGGGCGTCGCAAAATAAGGCTGCAACTGATGCTGTAGCTGATGCTGCTGCTGCACTTGATGCTCACTCATGTTGGAAGGGCCCTCGTTCCTGCTATTCAACGCGTTGAGGATGTCACGCAGCACGATGTTCGTCTCGCCGTAGCTGGTTTGCATTCTGGCAATCTCTTTTTGTAATGGCCTCCATCTCAGATTTGCTCTGCTCCAGCTTCGTCGGCTGCTGCGTGGTTGGCGTGGCTCTGCCTGGGACTGGCTGTGGAGGATGCGGCGGTAGTGGCGGCTGTGGAGGCGGCGGTGGCTGAAAGCTTCCTGCCATTGGCGCTGCCACCCCAGCTAGATGCCACCTATGGGTTTTGGCACCGCCGCATCTAACTGCACGTCCTCCATACCAGCTGGATAAACGTTGTAATACTCCTGGTCCTGATATTTGTTCTCATCGAGCTCATCAAGGCAAGGACAGATCTGGTCTATCTCCTGATTCGTCTTTCCGTCTTGTTCACGAAGAGTGCTGATCCTGGCTCGTGTGTCGCGTATTTGTTCTTCCGTCTTTGCAAATTTTCCGCGCATAGCAATGATATGCGCCGAAAGTGAGCCGTTATGTTGATCATATACTTCAAGCTTGATATTGCTTTGTTGATGGTGTCTGTATTTTTGTTGGCTCTGATTGCAATGATTGCTAACTTGGCCAATTCTGTCATTATTTCTTTGACCTAGCATTTTTGTTTGTAATATGCCTGCGTCTTGGACTCCTGAGGCGGCTCACGAAATATGTCGACCATGAGTACTGGTTCAGACCTTGGGGCAGGAACCATCCTGGCGATGAAGCTTTGAGCTTGCCTTGCCAACTGCTCATCCTCTTTCGCACTGGGCTCCGGAGGCTGGCTGCTGCTGTCGCGTAGATGGTTGTCTGGCTCTACTTGGCGTTCGATCCTTCCTTGGGGCGCATCCATTGGGTCTCTGATCGTAATGCTGTCCACGATAACACACCCATGCTTTTCGTGGCACATGCTTTCCGCAAGGACAATCCCAACTGTGTGGCGGCATATCTCTTCTGTCTGTCTGGCATCATGCTGCCTCACTAATTGGGTTGCCTCCTGTGCTGCTACAAGTGTCTTTGCTGCTCTGCGCTCGGCTCGTCGCCGCCTGTGCCAAGCGGGCTCATTTTTAGCCGTGATGAGACAGAAGAGAATGGAGGTACACTATGCGGTGCGGGCGGTATGTATGTGAATGCGGCGGCCTCAATAGGCACGCAGAAGGTATGGGCTCCTGCGGGCGACCACTCCCTGCGGTCGGCCAGTCAAAGCCCAATGCCTCCCCATCCTCCTCCTCCGCCTCCTCCACCTCCTTAGCTGTGTGAAAGTTGTTTAATGTTCTCGCTATTTCGGACCAAGGGCGCCCCAGACGGCTCAAAGGGCGTCCCAGGTCTCCCCACGACAGCTTGGAGGCCCAGACAAGTGCCCAAAGACGGCCCCAAAGAGCTTCAAGACCGCCAAGGAGAGCCCCAAGGCAGCCGAACAGAGCACCCAGTGGCCCCCCGAGACAGCCACGAGAGGGCACCAACGGCTGCCCAACAGGCCTCAAAGCGGGCTCCAAGACGTCCCGAAACCCAACGACCCCCAGCATGGCTCCAGGACGGGCCAAGAGGCCTCCAAGACGGCCCAAGAAGATGGCCGAAGAGGGCCCCCAGAGGTTCGGCAGAGACCCCCAGGAGGCCCCGAACAGTGTTCGAAGAGAGTCCAGACGACAGGATCCCCGCAGCCCCCAAGCCCCTTAGACGGCCCAAGAGGCCGCAAAATGGCTGGAGAGGGCCCCAAAAGTCCCTCCAAGAGGCCATCAAGACGGCTCAAGAGGGCCGCAGAATTTCTGGAGAGACCCCAGGAGGCCTCGAAGAGGGTCCGACGAGAGTCCAGACGTCGGCGACGCGTGCGCGTTCGGGACAGACATTTTGCCCGCTGGCCGTCCTGAGAGCCTCCGGAGTGCCCCAAGACACCCTCAGATTGCCCCAAGACGGCTCCGCGACGCTCAGGAGGGCCCCAAGATGACCCCATAGGGCTCCAAGACTGTCCAAGATGGCCTCGAGACGGTTGAAGAAGGCCCCAACACGCCTCAAGAACGCTCCCAGAGGGCTCCCGAGAGACTCCAGAGGCAAAAATCATTGATTTTCTTTGAGTTTGTGAAGGAATGTAGGTTGATCATCTCTTCGGGTCCCAGACCGCCCAAGATGGCGTCAGGGGCCTTCCACAGTGGCACGATACGATTCAAGAGGCGCCAAAGAGGGCCCCGAGACGATTCAAGATGACCCTAAGACGGCGCAGGAGGGCGCCAAGAAGGGCTCAGAGAGCTTAAAAAGGGCTCCAACAGGTCGCCAGCAGGGCTCCCAGACGGCCCCAACGAGGCCCCAAGAGCAACCTGGAGCGGCCCGAGACCCCCAACATGCCTCTGACATCTCCCTGGAGGCCCCCAAGAGGCCCGAGAATTCCCCCAGACGCCCCAAGGGAGCTCCCGGAGGGCTCTTGAAAGAGCCTCCAGAGGTAATAAGTGACGACTGCCATGGGTTTCTGAAGAATTTGGGTTCGTCGCCTTTTTGGGGTTCCCGACCGCCCAAGACGGCGACAGGGGCCCTCCGCAACGGCCTGGACGGCCGAAGAGGCTCGAGAAGAGGTTTCCAAGACGGCCCAGCATGGCCCCAAGACGGCACAAGAGGGCTTCAACACGGCCCCAGATAACTCCCAGGAAACCTCACAGAGGACGCCAAGAAGATCCTAAAAGGTCCCAACGACGCCTCAAGTGGGGCCAAGAAGGGCCCGAGACCTCAGACGTTCCTCTGACAGCTCCCTGGAGGCACCCAAGAGGCAGAAGAAGCTCCCAAGACGCTCCACGAGCGCTCCCAGAGGGCTCCTGAAAGAGCCTCAAGGGGGAGCAATTATCGACCGTTCTTTTTGGTGTTCGAAAGATTTTAGCTTGATCGCCTTTACGGATTCTCGACCGCTCAAGACGGCCACAGGGGCGCTCCACAGTTGCCCCAGACGGCCCAGGAGGCCCTCAGGAGGGCCCCAAGGCAGCCCAAGCAGATCCCAAGACGGCCCAAGAGGCCGCCAAGACGGCTCCAGAGAGACCCAAGGAGGCTCCAAGACGTCGCGAAGACGGCCCCCAGAAGGCCCCAACGAGACCTCCAGAGCGACCAACCCCCAACAGGCTTCTGAGAGCTCCCAGGAGGCCCCCCAAGAGGCCCCAGTTTGCCCCAAGAGAGCCCCAGGAGGACCCCCAAGGATGCCCAGACGGCCAAAGACCCCCCTAACACGGACCCAAGACGGCCCAAGATTGTCCCTAGAGAACACAGAGAGAGGTACACAAAGAGTGTGCATTACATGCGTGAGCCAGCAGTCAACGAGCCCAGGCGGTCCCGCCTGGCCTTCGTGGCCGCCTAGCTCGGGGAGACGAGGACGATATTTGACGCAAGGGTACAGTCGGGGCGCTGACCTACGGAACCCTAGATAAGGAACGAGGCCCCTTTTTCCCATCAGTTAAAGTTCGACTTCCCATCGAAAGCCTCAGGAAAACCTAAGGCAAGCTGTGAAACAATCAAGGAACACGGAGCTCCTCCCTCACGAAAAGGGTTCCTCCTTCAGCGCCCAGACTGTAGCGCGTTTCATGTTGCCCGCGGCCCCGAGCTCGGGCTCCCGCGGCCTTCGCAACCCGTGCCGCAGACCGGGGGCGGGCGCGGAGGCCTCGGCACCCCGGCCGTGGACGGACTCTGACGTGCCGCCCCCGCGTGCGATCTCGTCCTCCGGGGCGAGCGTCGACCCGGAGTTTCTCGGACACCGTCGGGCCGCCGCCGCCGCCGCCGCCGCCGCCGTCGCCGTCGCCGTCGTCGTCGTCGTCGTCGTCGTCGTCGTCGTCGTCGTCGTCCGGGGCGAGCGTCGACCCGGAGTTTCTTGGACACGACGCCCGTGACCACCAGGCGCTCTCGCTTATCAGCGAGATGTGGAAAGCGAACATGGGGCTCAATCTTGTCGAATGCGCCTGGCGGCACCACCTGTTCCCCCAGCAAGTGGACGTAGTCCACGGGTCAACCCCGGTCAGCTACAGCGCCGGGATCAGCGCGTGCGAGAAAGGCGAGCAGTGGCAGCGGGCCATTTCGCTGCTCAGCGAGATGCTGGAGGCGGAGTTGGAGCCTAATGTCATCAGCTACAACGCAGGGATCAGCGCGTGCGAGAAAGGCAAACAGTGGCAGCGGGCCTTGTCGCTGCTCAGCAAAATGCAGGAGGTGGAGTTGGAACCCAGCGTCATCAGCTACAGCGCTGGGATCAGCGCATGCGAGAAAGGCGAGCAGTGGCAGTCGGCCCTGTCGCTGCTCAGCGAGATGCGGGAGGCGGAGTTGGAGCCCAACGTTATCAGTTACAATTCTGGAATAAGCGCGTGCGAGAAAGGCGGGCAGTGGTACTCAGCCGTGTTGTTAATCAGCGAGATGTGGAAGACGAATTTGGAGCCCAATGCCATCAGCTATAACGCTGGGATCAGCGCTTGCCAAACACGCGATCACTGGCAGCGGGCGGTGTCGCTATTCACCGAGATGTGTGAGGCGAAGTTGGAACCCGACGTCGTCAGCTACAGCGCCGGGATCAGCGCATGCGAGAAAGGCGAACAATGGCAGCGCGCGTTGCTGTTGCTCAGCGATATGAAAGAGGCGAAGTTGGAGCTCGACGTCACGAGCTGCAACGCTGGCATCAGCGCATGCGAAAAAGGTGAACAATGGCAGCATGCATTTGCACTGCTCAGCGAGATGTGCGAGGCGAAGTTGCAGCCCGACGTGAACTCTCTCTCTCTCTCTATATATATATATATTTACATATACATGCACACCTACCTACCTACCTACCTACCTACCTACCTGCCTACAGACAGACAGACAGACAGACAGACAGACAGACAGACAGACAGACAGACAGACAGACAGACATACATACATATACGTATGTATGCATGTATGAATGTATATGTCCCATGCACGGTGCAGCACGTGCGCGAAGGGGCCAGAAGTTGCAGTTCCTGGGGCGGGCTGGGGGGCTCCAGTGGCCAGCCTGGGTCCTGTCGCGCCGCGGACGGCCTCCAGGACGGGCCGAGAGGGCCCAAGAGAGCCTCCAGGACGGCCCCAGAGGCTCCGAAAGTTCCCCAGCTCGCTCGGCGGGAGGAGGAGGAGGAGGAGGAGGAGGAGGAGGACACGAAGGAGGAGGAGGAGGAGGAGGAGGACACGAAGGAGGAGGAGGAGGATGAGGAGGGGGAGGAGGAGGAGGAGGAGGAGGAGGACAACAAACGCCTCCAACACTGACCAAATGGCCCCGAGCGAGGCGGCTTGAGATTGCCTCAAGACGGCCTGGAGGCCTCCGACGTCAAAATCATAGATTGCCACTCGGGTTTCCAAGGATATCAGCTTCCTCGTTGCTTCGCGTCTTCGACGGCTCAGGACGGCCCCAGAGGCTCCCAGGATGGCTCCAAGACGGCTCAGCGGCCCCACAGAGAGTCGCAAAACGGGCAAAAAGGACCCCAATACTTTCCAACGGGCCCCCGTGGCGTCTCCAAGTGCATCTAAGTCATCATACGTACATGTTCGGGCATTTCGCGTGCAAGAAGGGCCCGTTCGACACCGCTCATGTCGAAACTGAAAAGGTTCCGACTCGACTCGCCGTGCCGATCCGGCTTTTTCCGATCCGGCTTGTTGGGAGCCGATCCGACCTAGATCCGTTTCAGGAGGATCTGATCCACTAGTTTCCGATCCGGCTTCGTTGCGCGCCGATTCGCACCGATCCGATTCAAGAATAGTCAGGAGGAGGAGGCAGGAGGGAAGCGGAGGAGGAGGAGGAGGAGGAGGAGGAGGAGGAGGAGGAGGAGGAGAGGAGAGGCCGTTGCTGTTGGGGTTGTCGCCGCCGCGCTGACGCCGCGCTGTATCAACGACCCGCTGCCGCCGCGAGCACCGCCCAACAGTAAGAGGACGAGCAGTAACAGCAGCAGGAGGAGGCGCCCAGAGGGAGCAGGAGGAGGCGCCCAAGGGGGCCCAAGGGGGCCCAACCCCCCCTCCCTCCTCCTCCTCCTCCTCCTCCTCCTCCTCTTCCTCCTCCTCCTCCTCCTCTTCCTCCTCCTGCTGCTCCTCCTCCTCCTCCTCCTCCTCCTGGAGGCCTCCAAGAGCTTCCAGACAGCCCAGGAGGGCCCCAAGACGGCTCAAGAGGACCCCGAGACGGCATCAGACGGCCTCAAGAGAACCCCACGATGGGAAGCTCGAAGTAACACGTCGCACCCTCCGCTCCAGGATGAACCCAGAAACCGCCAGCTGGCCCCGAAGAGGCCCCCCAGACACCCCAGAAGACCCCACAGTGCCGGAAGACGGCCCAAGAGGGCCCCAAGAGGCCCCTAAGGATGGCCCCGAGAGGCCAAAATCATTGGTTTGCGTTGGGTTTTCGGACGGTTTCAGCGTTCTCGCTCGCCTTTTCGGTGTCGCCACGCTCTAAGCCAGCCCCTGGGCTCTCAAGATCGCGCCAAGATGGCACAGGAGGCCCCCAAGAGAGCTCCCAGACAGCCCAAGAGGGCCCCAAGACGGTCCAAGAGGACCCCGAGACGACCCCAAGAGGGCCCCACGAGGGAGAACTCGAACCGACAGTTCGCGCCTTCGCTCCAGGATGATCCCCAAAACCGTCAGCTGGCCCCCAAGAGGCCCCCCAGACGCCCCTGAAGGCCCCCAAGAAGCCGAAATCAGGTCCCAACGAGAGGCGGCAAGACACCCCAAATTCGCCTACAGGAGGCTTTTGAGGGAAGGTCTCCCAGAGAGCTCTGGGACTTCTCAGGCCACCCAGGAGAATCAGGCGCCCATGCGCCTCTTATTTTGTCTCGCCTCATTTGCAGAAGCTCCAGTCTGAATGGGCGACTCGTCCTGGATTTCTTTCTCAGAGTGCTCCGGACAGGCTGGCCCTTGGTGGCATGCTCTGCAGCGGCTTCGATTTTCTCCAGCCCACGCAGCCCGCGCGCATCCTCCGACCTCCCCGCGCGGCCACAGCCACAATAGAACATCGCTAGACAAAAAACCCACTGTTGCTGTCTCAAGGTGGCTCAAGATCATCCTGGGGTGACCCAGTACGCCCCCCTTACCCGAAGGCAGCAGCACGAAACACAAAGCAGGCAACAATAGCGACAGCGCAGATCAACAGCAAACAGCAGCAGCAGGTAGCGGTCAGCAGCACGCACCGAGCAGACGTGGCCATCAGCAGCACCCTTCAGCCACAACAACAATGACACGCAACAGCGGCAAACATTACCAACAACATACAACAGTGATAGCAAGTAACACCACGCAGAGGCATGCGCCGAAAGTGTTGGTCGAGCCCCACGTTGTAATGACACCCCTAGAGGCCCCCACACTCTTCACCCCGCAGGCGGACGTAGTCAGTCCACTGATCAGCTCTAGTCAGCTATAATGCTGGAATCAGCGCGTGCGAGAAGGGCGGGCAGTGGCAGCGCGCTCTGGCACTGCTTTGTGAGATGCGAGAGACGAAGTTAGAGCCCGACGTCACCAGTTACGAAGCTGGAATCGGCGCGTGCGATACAGGCGAGCGTGGCATTCAGGTGTTGATGTTGCTCGGCGACTTGAGGGCACGATGCGGGAGCTGAGCGGCAGATTTCCTTCTTACGTAGCTGGACATGTTCGCATGCGATGTCCATCCACACTTCAATGACTTGGTCGTTTCCGTTGCAGTTTGCCCTGATGGGGTCTGATCGATCTCCCGCTTTGGCTTCTACTATGCAGGAACCCGCGTCCGCCAGAATGTGCTGTGCATCAATCGGCTTGTTCTGACTCCGAGAGGCCCTGGGAGGCCGTAAAGCGCCCTCGGGACAGTTTGGACAGCCCTGCGGGCCTCGGGCCACGCCCCTTAAACGGCCCAATAGAGCCCAAAGACTGCCGAAGGGGTGTCCGAGACGGCCCCAAGACGGCCCTGGTTAGCTCGACGATGGCCCCCCAAGACAGCCTCGAAAGGCTCAACTCGTCCCGATTCTCGAGGAAGCCCCATGAGGGCCCCCAACACGGCCTCAGAGGCGCAACTCCAGAAAGGCTCCAAAGAGCGGCGCAGGACGGCCCAAGACGGCCCCAAACGGCCCCAGAGCCCTAGAGAGCCCCAGACGGTCACAAGACGGCCCGCCCAAGCAGCGCCCAAGGCGGCCCATGAGGGCCCCGAGAAGGCCAAAGAGGCCCATAAGACTTGAAGAGGCCCCCACGCAGCTTCCAAGCGGCCCCATGCAAGGGGCGTCACATGCGTCTCCACGCAGGAGTCAGCTCTTCTACGACGCCAGAACCAGTGCATGCGAGAAGGGTCTGTGATGTTCGGCCACACGCGCGCCGAGGTCATTGAGACATTCGTGTGCTAGCCTCTTCTCGTGCCTTCTCGCCGCTCTCCCTTGTCGATCCTCGCCTTTCTATCTCCTGATTCCTGTCTCCTCTCTTCTTACACCTCCTCGCTCCTCCCACTATCTCCTAGTGTCCTCCTTCTCCATGTTTGCTACTGGCGTCTGCCTCCACCCTCCTTCGTCTCTCACTCATCTCTCCTCGCATTCTCTCTTTCTCTTTCTGTGTTTCTACTGTTTGTTGTGTTCTCTCTCTCTCTCTCTCTTTCTCCCTATATCGCTCTCTCTCTCTGTCTCTCCCCTCGATCGCTGTTCCTCCCTTCTCACTCCTTGCTCCTCGCTGATCGATCCTCGCTTCCTCCACCCCTCCCCCCTCCCATACTCATGACTTATTATTATTCCTCGCCTCTCGGTCAACTCACGAGCTGCAGGTTGCGTCAGCTGCTGGAAAGTGGACCAAGAAACAACACTCTACAGCCTCATGCAGCAACAGCGAACAGCAGCAGTCCGCAGCAAGCGGCGGCAGCACAAAGCAAAAGTAACCAGCAGCAGCAGAAACATGCCGCAGGCAGCAGCACCCTGCAGCTGCAGGCAGCAGCACTCTGCACCACGGATCAGCCCTAGGTTCTTCTAGAATGAAGGAACCCGCGCGCGCTAGAAGGTGTTGTGCATACTTTGTTTTTTTCTGGTTCCGAGAGGCCCGGGGAGGGCGAAAAGTGCCCCAGGGGCAGCTTGGACAGCCCTGCAAAGCCCAAAGACATGAGAGCAGGCGCCCAAGACGGCCACAAGGCGGCTTTCATTAGCTTGACGACGGCTCAAGAGGCCCCCAAGATGCCTCAAGACATGTCCTAAAGGACCCTCAAGACAGCCCCGAAAGACCCAAATCGCTCCAATCCCGTAGGGAAACACACACACACACACTCCCTTGAGCCCTAGTGGCGTTCCAGCAAGCCCCAACGCCCCCCCGAACTCCCCCAAGGCAGCCTCAGAGGCCCCGTCCGAGGGCCCCCAAAAGGTCCCAGGAGGCCCCACGAGCGCCCAAGACGGCCCGCGAGGACCACGAGACGGCCTCCCAGACGGCCACGAGACGGCCCAAGCTAGGGGAACAAGAAGTGACACAAACATAAAAACTCGGAGGTCCGCGCGGATTTCTCGGATCGGCGCTGGATCCCCCTCCCTGGCGCGCGGAGCGCGCCAGGGGCGGCGCCGGAGGCGCCGCCAGAAGGCCCCAGCGCCGATCGGATAAATCCGCGCGCACCTCCGAGTTTTTATGTTTACCTAACAGCGAAGACTGATAGGTGTCTAATGGGGTCGAAAGAGAGCATCTGGTGACTCCACAAGGGGGTCTGGGCGGGAGCCGGACAGGCGAGGGCCGGGCTCGTTTTAAGCAAACAGTCCTACACTTCGTGCTCTTCGACCTCCCAGAACTCCATTCCCGGGCCACATTTTGAATGCCCGGAGCCAACTGTAGGCCACTTCGTGTTCTTCGACTTCCCAGAACTCCATTCCCGGGCCACATTTTGGATGCCCGGAGCCATCTGTAAGCCACTTCGTGTTCTTCGACTTAAGAACTCAACTCCTGGGCCATATTTTGGATGCCCGGAGCCAACTGTAGGCCACTTCGTGTTCTTGGACTTCCCAGAACACCATTCCCGGGCCACATTTTGAATGCACGGAGCCAACTGTAGGCCACTTCGTGCTCTTCCATTTCCCAGAAATTCACTCCCGGGCCACATTTTGAATGCCCAGAGCCAACTGTACGCCACTTCGTGCTCTTCCACTTCCCAGACTTCCACGACTCATCTTCATCATCATCATCGTCCCCGTAGCCTTCTTGGCTACAGCCCTGCTTTCGAAGATTTCCTTTCAAAGGAACTGCGCAGCGCCTACTGCACACCTTAATGCCAGGACATGCTGATAGTTCTCGGTCTGGCGGCGGTGCTCCTGACCCTGCTGCATTGAACAGCGGTGCTCCTCAGCCTGCGGCAGGGAACAGCGCTGCTCCTCAGCGTGCTGCAGTGAGCGGTCCTCTGCAAACGCTCGTCGAGCTCGGCCGGATACCGAAGCGAAATAAAGAAACGTCCGAACAAGAACGGGCCGAAAACAAGTTGGCCAAACGTTTCTCGGACCATCGCGACCGCATCCCAAAAGACATTTTGCATGAACTGCGGGCCCTGGGCTGCGCTGATCAGCAGACGGAGACCGAGGAGCTCAAGCGGAAGCAGAAGACCGAGGAGCTCATGCAGCAAACGCGAGACAAGACCGAGGAGCTCATGCAGCAAGTGCGAGACCTCGGCCGCCACCCGAAGGAGCATGCCGGGCGTAGCCTCGCAGAGCGGCAGCTGGCAGAGAAAGTCCGGAAAGCACGGAAGGCCAACCAGTGGCAGTGGCAGTAGAAGCAGCGTTTCTATTGCTACTACCACTGCTCCCATCACTCCTACTCGTTCACTCCACACACTACAACTACTAGTTCACTGTTACCACTACTACCATCACTACTACCTTTACTGCTACTACTACTGTTACTATTACTGCTGCTGCTGTTGCTGCTGCTAGTGTAGCTATTGCTACTGCGACTACTGGCAGCGCCGCTGCGACTGCCGCCGATGTTGCCACTGCGACTGCCATTGCGAATCCGAATGCGACTGCGAGAACACCAGAATTCTACAACAGCACTCTTACACGAATACCACAGGCAACGTTTCCAGCTATGCTTCTACACATCACTGTTCGGTTGCTTTGCCGGGATAAATGTGTCACTTTTTGTTCCCCTACAAGTGGCGCCCCGGGCGAGGGTGGGCTTCACTCCGTTCGGGAGCTCTCGAGCGAAGTGAACCCCACCCTCCCTCGCAGAAATGGTGGGGGGCAGGGGTGGGGTTCGCATGTGGCCCCCTACAAGTGGCGCCTACGGGGGCCCAGGAGAGAGGCCCCCCCCCCGCACGCGGCCTCCCCGCGGCTCCCAGGGGGCTCCCGGCGTGCCCCCGCCGAGGGCAGGGCGGCGCAGAGCCCGGAGGCGCTGCGCAAGCCCAACAGGATCGCTCCTCCTCCTCCTCCTCCTCCTCCTCCTCCTCCAGTAAGTTGTCACATGCCTCACGCGTTCCTCTCTCGGGGCCCTCTAGAGCTCACCGGGGGCCCGGCGAAGTCACAGCCCGTACTGTAATGTACTGGCTCAAGACGCGTCATAGTTGTGTACTGTTCGAGCGATCGATACGGAAACACACAGCCCCACTGCATTCAGCCGCCATCGCTGCCGGGAGGAGAGGAGTTATATCACGTGCCACTGCACGTGGTAGCGGAGCAGAGGTGCTCCCCCTCCCGCCGCCAGGCGACGGTACCACTGCGAGCTCATCACCTTCTCCGACATCAGCGCTGCGGGCATCAGCCTCGACAGCACAGAGTGCGAGAAAGAGGGCTTCGACAGTCAATTCAGTTATTCCTTAGTTTTTTGGTATCAGCTATGTTCGGCGGCAAGGGCGGACAGCCCCCAGTGCAGCAGGGCGGACCCCAACGGTTCATTCCTGGCCAACATCCTCAGCCTGGCATGGCGAACACGAAGACGCCTCCCTCGTGGTCGCCGGAGTTCGAGGCCAGCTACCCGTTGTGGGTCTACGCTCAGGACCTGATCTTGTGGAGCGCGGCCACAGAGGTACCCATTGCACGTCAGGGACCAGCCGCAGTTCTACAGCTCGGAGGCATGGCGAGGGTCTTGGGCAGAGAGATGAACGTGGATGAGTTATCAAATGGACGGCAAGAGTGGGACTACACACAGCAGCAGATGTTGCACGTGACGGGCATTACTATTCTGTTGCGGAATCTTCTACGACGTTTCGGCGAGCTGGACGAAGAACAGAGCATCAGACTTCTTTCTCAGTTGTTGGGCTTCAGCAGAATGCAAGGCGAATCGATAGATCAGGCACTCTCGAGGTTCGATATCACGGTGTACAGGGCGACGAACCTCTTGCAGAATTTCGCGCTGGGACCCCAAGGATTGGCGTGGATATTATTGCGAGCACTCAAAGTGGCGCCGGTCATGTGGTCTCAGCTACTCATTCCCCTGAACGGACAGCTCCCGACGACGGAAAACCAGATGAATATTCTCAAGCGGCGCATCAGACAGCAGGCACATATCTTGGAACATCATCCGCATGGCGTACACTCGAACGCGGCACATCCTGGACAGCAGGCACATTTGTCATATTTCGGAAACGTGGAGCCGCCTCAGGCTGCGACGGCCTGGGGCGACGGCGCGGCCGCGGCAGCGGCCATGCCACGTCAAGCAGTGTACCCCACGAGCGACCCGTGCGCGAACACGCCAG